TGGAAAAAAAGACTAAAGAAAATTAATGCAACCATCACGTCTAAGAATTGGTACCGTAATTTGCAATATAATGCATTTTTGTTTTATACCACTTTAAAGTATAGTATAAATTTCAAGGACCACTCTTAAGCTGGACTTAGGTGGATCGAAATTCAGACAAATTTCAGCCAGTGTGGCCATTCCCATATGGAAGAAAAATATCTTTGAAATATATTTTTAAAATATTCTTCCCAAATAATAATAAAAAAAATTATTTTTAAATATGTTCTTCAGATTTTTTTCACATATAAAAAATATTAACATATATTTTTACATATATTTAAAAATACAAATATACATTTTTGGAATGCATTTACAAAGACATCCAGTATATTTGAAATGTATTTTTAAAAATATTTTTCATATATTTTGTAATAAAAATTCATTTCAACATGCAGTATATATATAAATATGTATTTAAATATATTGAATATGGCCAAAATTGTAGCATATCAAATATATGGCAATATATTTGGGAATAATAGTTTTAAAATATATTTCAAATATATTTTTCTTCCATGTGGGTTGTTAGATCGACTTCTGTCAAATGTACACAGGCTGGAAAACGTTTGGCGATCAGCAGCTGCTGATCGGTGTGTATTCTGACAGTGTCGAGTCCACCTGTAAGAACAGAATGTCCCAGTGAGGGGGATTCTTCCATCCATCTTGTTTATGGGGATAGAGGAATCTGTTTTTTTTTTTCATTTAGCCCACTGACTGAAGGTAAAAATGAATCATCTTTGGCCAGCTAAAAGCTTTGCTGCATAACCATATTTCCATCAAAGATTTTTTCTATGATTTAAAATATGTGGCTTTTTACAGGGGATTGCATGCAATTTTGATAGTAGGGTGATAAAACATTACTCAAGTAGCCAAGTTCCAACACTGGCTATTCATGTGGCACTTTTGTAACAATTTCATATCTTTACATCAGCTTTTAATTGAAAAATTCTCACTTGCAATTCAATGGTCCACCGCAATCTGTTACTCACAGTTTTCTAAATTCCTGGTTTTGAGCGGGACTTCTCCTTTAATCATAAACATAACAAATTGTGGGTTAGCGTAATCTTTTTGAATACAAAATCATAATACACATTTTAGGGTTTTTAATTATGCATTTCACTAATTTATCTGTCTGGCATCTTTTATTTATAGGTAGTATATAAAATGTTTTTTTTTTCCAGTTGACTAACTATTTATACCCAAGAGTAATTCTGGCCCATCTGTTTCTCCTCCCTGAGATTTGTATGTGTAATTGAAACACAGTATAAAATCGCAATAAGTAGGACAAGAATGCAGGCATTTGTGTGAATGAATACCATTTAATGTTGCTCTCGTTTTTGCTATATTTTATCTGCAAATATGAAGCAGAGTGCTTTCACTGATGCCTATGGATTATGTATTTTATACTTGACACTCAGGTGTTGTTGACCTAATCACAACCAGGCTTTAAAACTATTATTTTTTTTTTTTATATATATTTTTTACTACTTTATACCACGGAAACAGAAATTGGATAAATTGGATAAAATGATATCAGCTGGGACACTTTGCTACATTTCATTGCTGTTTGTGTTGTTATATTAAATAAATTTAAGTGTTACTAAACCCACAACAGTAAAATCAGTCGGTATATGCAGTAAACCATGCTTGTTATATCACTGTGGTTAATCTTCCATGTTGTTTAAAAAGGCTGTTTGCTCCTGTCTTCTCTGATACTCCCCTTCGTTTGCTGTCCCCAATCCATCTACTGACAGTACAGAGCCCTAGGAAGCACTCTGCACATGCTCTGTTTGGTGTGTATTGCTAGAGAGTTGTTGTTTTTTTTTGGGAGGGTGCATGTGATCAACATAAGGCCAATCAGCGCTGTCCAGACAGAGGGTCATGGATTATGCAGCCTCATAGGACAGTAAGAGGAGAATGAAAACTCCTCCTACAGGATTACCAGTGCTCAGCTGGACATTGATACAAGTCACAAGACTGCTATATACTGCTGATAAGAAAAGCTATTTAGCAGTTTATATTTACTAAAATAATTGTATTTCCAGGTTCTGTGTACTTTGGGTGACCAGATATAGTGAATATAGTGGGTTTAGTAACACTTTAAAGAGAAATGTTCGGGGTTTAGTAACATTTTTTGTTGAAAAAAAAAAACAATCCACTCAGTGTGATCTATGTACATTGCAGTGGTTTTAACAAACTTTGTTGCAGATTTCTACCTGCTCTGAAAAAAATGCACAGTGAATCTTAATCGGTGTGACTTTTTTGTTATTAATCAGCTGATGCACTTGCAATGTTATAATAAGGAACGTGGCAGGGTCTTCATCCCTTTAGAAGTGATTAACCTTTTGGGAATATCTCACCAAAATTACTTTATTTGCAGAGGATCCCTAAAATTTGATTTGTATCTTAGTACAGATTTCTCTAAAAAGCATTGAGCCAAACACACAAGCAGAAAATGTGTCAGGAGCATGTAAACACTCCTGTCATTTGACAGCTGCTGGTCTTATTTGAGCATTCTGGTTTTGACTATGATGTATCCCTGTCTGTGTCCACCTGCAAGGTGATTGTTGTGGCCAGTCTCTGGATGGAGACCAAGCTTGATTTAAGCCAGTCAAGCCTGCAGTCTCATGCTTGTGATACTGCTTTTGTAACACGTGCTGCAAGCTCTTTGTCTATCCTGCTCTGCTGTTTGGATTCCCTCATTGACCACCTTGGATTGAATATCAACTACTTTCTGAACTTTGTCTGCCTTTGACTACAGATTTGACCCTGACTATCCTGAACTTTGCCTGCCTTGTACCTGGACTGTGATTAAACCGAACCACCCTGCCAACTGCAAGTACCTGCTTGCTCTGCTCAGGTTGCACTTGCCCCAGTATGGTAGCCAGGCACTATAGCACTGTGTATAAATCCTGAAGGCAACAGACTACCAGTAGGCCTGCTTGCCTTATGGGAAAGGAGGCTGCTGTAGGTGAAGAACACAGAAGCCAGCTACAGTGCCTGACCACCTGCATTAGGGGTAAGCGTGACATTATCAAAAACTTTTAACAACATTTTCCTGTGAAGATGGACTGCTGGGGAGATTTGCAAACTGACGCACCTAGTCCAGGAACTGAACTGTCTCTATGTATAAACGCACCTCCAGCAGCAACGCAGGCCCAAGGTTAAGCTGCCTTACCATTTTTTTTTGGTGACCCCCGTATGTTTTCTAACTTTAAAACCAGTTGTATGCTATAATTTAAGCTGAGACCACGCTCTTCTGGTTCTGAAGCACAGCGCACAGCGGGTTAATCTGATTATTACATGGTTCCAGGGGGACCCCCAGTCTTGGGCTAAAGTCTCTCCACAGATGACCCAGCCTGAGGGTCAGTTGAAACATTTTTCAAGGCACTGGGTTTATTCTATGATGAAATTAACCTTAAGTCATTACATCAGGGTAAATGCACCGCTGAGCAATACTGTTCTGAATTCCATTGCTGGTCATAGCCTGACTCAAGGTGGAATGACCCAGCTCTAAGAATCCAGTTCAGGTTAGGCTTATCAGACTCCATTAAGGACTCCTTAGTACACTACCCTGAACCAAAGTCATTGAATGAAGCCATGCAAGTAGCTATCCGTATAGACAGGCATTTACGGGAAAGGCATACAGAGAGGTTTGATTATTTACCCACTTCTTCATCAGTCCTTTCTGAGCCCTCGCAAACCTCTCCAGGAGGAGGTGCCCATGCAAATTGGTGCTACAAATTTATCCTCTGGGGAAAAGGCTAGAAGAAGATCGCAGGGACTCTGCTTATACTGTGGCAACCATGGCCAGCTGCCCTAATAAGCCAGTAATTGCCAAGAGTCTAATGTGGGTGGGGTCTACTTCTTTAGACTATACAGTGCCAAGTCCCCCCCCCCCCGAGATAAACCTTTTGTTCCTGCACAACTTCACACCTGCAGCTAAAGGGGGTGGCAAAAACACGTCTTAACTTTTACCAACCCCCAAACTGCAAATGTAAATGAACCCTTACTGTTCTGAGCCTCCTATAAGGCTGCTTTCACATTGATGTGCTACGGATTACCTGCACCACAGATGCAGCACAGTGCATCTACAACTTTCCTGGGTTAGCTGCGATTTTCCATAGACTTCTATTATATCCTGCAGGTATGGTCCACTTTCTGAAAGTGCACCAAAATTCCTGCATTCAGGAGTTTTGGTATGCTTCCAGAAAGTGCACCACACCTGCAGGGCATAATAGAAGTCTATGGCTATGGCAGCAAACCCGCAAGAAAAGCTGCAGGGAAAATTAACTGCACCCCGCGGTGTGGGTAAACCACAGTGCATCAGTGTGAAAGCAGCCCTATGTTATTATGCCCAGTGTATCGCTTCACACTTACCTGAAGATCTCTTCTTTCCTGCTGCTGGCACCACTCTGGAGACCACTAGCTGGGATAAGAGGTGGAGTGCAGTTGATATCACTCCGCGTGGGACAGGAGCCAGCACTACAGAGGAGACAGCGGCTTATGCAGCTCTTGCTCTCTACTACAGCTCCAACTTTAGAAGAAGTCTCTGCATTGCACTCTGTTTGATGCTCTGGGATGATGGGTCAGCAAGCCCAGACCACGATCTACCAGTCACCTGGCTGTTATCTACTGGTAGATCGTAACATATGGGTTGCTGACATCCGGCCTAGACAAACATTTAAATGTTGCTAAACCATAGTTAAGCTTTAGTAATCATGTGGTCTTACTAAATCTTCTGTTATTGCTTCCTTTAATGAAAATAATTAATATAATACTCTTTTCCCCTTCCCATTCTCAAATATACATTTACATCTATCTAGAAAGTGCTATGTTCTAAAATGGAAACATATCATATTTATTAGCTTTCAATGTAGTTCAGCTCTGGTTGTTTAACATTGAGTGTTGTTTTTATATTGGAAGTGTTTTGGTGTATATTTATACTGTTTTTTTTTAATACATCTTCTGTAGGCACGTGACCGTGTAAAAAATGGATTGAGTAAGCTATGGGAGACAAACATCCTTGTTGACAAAATGAAGGTAGATCTGTCAGCCTTAGAACCCGTGCTTAAACAGAAATCTATTGATGTCGAAGCTCTAATGGAAAAACTGTCAGTAGACCAAGAAAATGCAGATCAGGTAAGGACTGCTTGTAGTCAACGTTGAGTCCAAACTTTCTACCAATGCTGTATAAAAATGTACCAATAATGTAATAATAATGATAATAGCCTCAATAATAGTAATAATAAAATATTGTACTAGTACTGTATGTAAATTGGATTTTTGGAATTCTTAGTTCTATGAACACATCATACACCTTTCAATTCATAACATCAAAATTGTAATAGCAATGCAAACTATAATTATATTTGACAATCCAATATAAACTTACTTGAAAATTCTTCTTTCATGTTGTGAATGCTACCTGTCTGCTGGCCATGTTTTTCCACAATTTTTTGGATTTCCTGCATGCTTTGCAGCCTCTATTTTCCTAATTCCTTTGGTTCACTTTCAATTTCAAAAGACTACATATTCCATGATACCTTGCTGCCTGAAAACATATATGATGTGGCATGTTTCCTGTACTGACTGTGCCTCCTGTAGTTTAGACAGCAGACTCTATGAAACGTGTGACACACATTGCATATTCATAAGGCATAGGAGTATATATCACAGAATATAACACAGAAAAGAGGTAAATATGTGGGATTCTTACAAGTAGGTTCTTAGCCTTCAAGATCATGTAGATTAATAGGAGCAGGCTAGAAATAATTAAAATTCAATGTGGAAATGATTTTATGTTTTTAAATTTTGACCATAGATAAAATCTAGCAGTTCTATTTCTAATCCTATGCTCTGCAAAATGAGCCCCTGCCATCATTTGCGGATCTCAGGTCAGTGAGCATTGAAAGCTTATTATTATCGTAAGGATAATGATGTAATGATGATGTGGCACACTATAATGCTATGTGCTAGAGTTCTAGTCATAATAAAGACAACATTATCACTGCTTCCCTCAGCTAAGGTTAGGGAACCCTCACTACGGAAGTGAACTTGTAAAGAGATATTCATTGACTGTTTGATCAACATGAATTATCCTGATCTGGGTTAAATCCTGATTCTAAACTGATCTGATCTTCTTGTCACTATTGGCAAACATGTAGGATCCCTCCAAATGCTGATTTATTTGGTGATTTAGAAACTACTGATTTGAGCAACTGAGGGATGGAACAATATGATTTTTGCAGGGATGGTTTACTAAAACATGATAATTCAATTGAGGTACAGATACTTCCTCAGCTGAGGAAGCCACTTGGATGACTGGCAAAATGTCGTCAACATTATAGAGCTAGTCCAGTTGAATGTGATGAACCGCTAACAGCTGTAAAGTGAAACAACTGGAACAAATGAAAAACTTTACAGATATATTCCATGCTAAAGCATATTTTTCAAATCACTGTAATACCTATGTTTTCAGGTGCGACGAATAGTAAAAGAAGATGAGGCAATTGCAAAAGTTAAAGCAGAGGAAACCCAGGCGATTGCTGATGATGCCCAGAGAGATCTTGATGAAGCTATGCCTGCCCTAGAAGCAGCCAATAAAGCTCTTGACTCTTTGGATAAAGCAGACATATCTGAAATCAGAGTGTTTACTAACCCACCAGATTTGGTCATGACAGTCATGGAAGCCATATGCATTCTGCTTAATGCAAAGTAAGCATTGCACTGACATTCATTGCATAGATATGATTAGAGATGAGCGAATCGAACTTGGCGAAGTGGAATTCGTTTCGAATATCAGGAAAAATTCGATTCGCATCGAATCCGAATTTTAGCAAACTTCGGGTGCACGAATCGAATTTTTTTTTTCCCGATCAGTCGGCAAAAGTGTCACTGCAGAGAGCTCCGCTATTTCTGACAGTTCTGACAGTTAATTTACAGCGGTTGAAACATTGTATCTATTTGTTTCCATTTAGGATACAGATGTTTTTATTCGGAAATAGATACAATGTTTCAACCGCTGTAAATGTGAAGGAACTGTCAGAGAACTGTCAGAAATAGCGGAGCTCTCTGCAGATACACTTTTTGCTGTACTGGAATTCTTCTTCTTTTCATTCTTCTTCTTCTTTTCATTCTTCTTCTTCTTCTTCTTTTCATTCTTCTTTTCATTCTTCTTCTTCTTCTTTTCATTCTTCTTCTTCTTCTTCTTTTCATTCTTCTTTTCATTCTTCTTCTTCTTCTTTTCATTCTTCTTCTTCTTCTTCTTCTTTTCATTCTTCTTTTCATTCTTCTTCTTCTTCTTTTCATTCCTCTTCTTCTTTTCCTTCTTCTTTTCATTCTTCTTCTTCTTCTTTTCATTCTTCTTTTCATTCTTCTTCTTCTTCTTTTCATTCGTCTTCTTCTTCTTTTCATTCTTCTTCTTCTTTTCATTCTTCTTCTTCTTCTTTTCATTCTTCTTTTCATTCTTCTTCTTCTTTTCATTCTTCTTCTTCTTCTTTTCATTCTTCTTTTCATTCTTCTTCTTCTTCTTCTTTTCATTCTTCTTCTTCTTCTTCTTTTCATTCTTCTTTTCATTCTTCTTCTTCTTCTTTTCATTCTTCTTCTTCTTCTTCTTTTCATTCTGCTTCTTCTTCTTTTCATTCTTCTTTTCCTTCTTCTTCTTCTTCTTCTTCTTTTCATTCTTCTTTTTTTCATTCTTCTTCTTCTTTTCATTTTTCTTTTCATTCTTCTTCTTCTTCTTTTCATTCTTCTTTTCATTCTTCTTCTCATTCTTCTTTTCATTCTTCTTCTCATTCTTCTTTTCATTCTTCTTCTTCTTCTTTTCATTCTTCTTTTCATTCTTCTTCTCATTCTTCTTTTCATTCTTCTTCTCATTCTTCTTTTCATTCTTCTTCTTCTTTTCATTCTTCTTTTCATTCTTCTTCTCATTCTTCTTTCCATTCTTCTTCTTCTTCTTTTCATTCTTCTTTTCATTCTTCTTCTTCTTCTTTTCATTCTTCTTCTTCTTCTTCTTTTCATTCTTCTTTTCATTCTTCTCATTCTTCTTTTCATTCTTCTTCTTCTTCTTTTCATTCTTCTTTTCATTCTTCTCATTCTTCTTTTCATTCTTCTTTTCATTCTTCTTCTCATTCTTCTTTTCATTCCTCTTCTTCTTCTTTTCATTCTTCTTCTTCTTTTCATTCTTCTACTTCTTCTTTTCATTCTTTACTTCTTCTTTTCATTCTTCTTCTTCTTTTCATTCTTCTTCTTCTTCTGTTCATTCTTCTTTTCATTCTTCTACTTCTTCTTTTCATTCTTCTTCTTCTTCTTCTTTTCATTCTTATTCTTCTTCTGTTCATTCTTCTTTTCATTCTTCTTCTTCTTCTTTTCATTCTTCTTCTTCTTTTCATTCTTCTTTTCATTCTTCTTCTTTTCATTCTTCTTCTTCTTCTTTTCATTCTTCTTTTCCTTCTTCTTTTCATTCTTCTTTTCCTTCTTCTTCTTCTTCTTCTTTTCATTCTTCTTCTTCTTTTCATTCTTCTTTTCATTCTTCTCATTCTTCTTTTCATTCTTCTTTTTTCATTCTTCTTCTTCTTCTTTTCATTCTTCTTTTCATTCTTCTTTTCATTCTTCTCATTCTTCTTTTCATTCTTCTTCTCATTCTTCTTTTCATTCTTCTTCTTCTTCTTTTCATTCTTCTTCTTCTTCTTTTCATTCTTCTTTTCATTCTTCTTCTTCTTTTCATTCTTCTTTTCATTCTTCTTCTTCTTCTTCTTTTCATTCTTCTTCTTCTTCTTTTCATTCTTCTTTTCATTCTTCTTCTTCTTCTTCTTTTCATTCTTCTTCTTCTTCTTTTCATTCTTCTTCTTCTTTTCATTCTTCTTCTTCTTCTTTTCATTCTTCTTTTCATTCTTCTTTCATTCATTCTTCTTCTTCTTTTCATTCTTCTTCTTCTTCTTTTCATTCTTCTTTTCATTCTTCTTCTTCTTCTTTTCATTCTTCTTCTTTTCATTCTTCTTTTATTCTTCTCATTCTTCTTTTCAGTCTTCTTCTCATTCTTCTTTTCATTCTTCTTTTTATTATTTTTCATTCTTTCATTTCTTCTTCATTCTTCTTTTCATTCTTCTTTTCATTATTTTTCTCATTCTTCTTTTCATTCTTCTTCTTCTTCTTTTCATTCTTCTTCTTCTTTTCATTCTTCTTCTTCTTTTCATTCTTCTTCTTCTTCTTCTTTTCATTCTTCTTTTCATTCTTCTTCTTCTTCTTTTCATTCTTCTTCTTCTTCTTCTTTTCATTCTTCTTCTTTTCATTCTTCTTCTTTTCATTCTTCTTTTCATTCTTCTTTTCATTCTCCTTCTCATTCTTCTTTTCATTCTTCTTTTCATTCTTCTTTTCATTCTTCTTCTCATTCTTCTTTTCATTCTTCTTCTTCTTCTTTTCATTCTTCTTCTTCTTCTTTTCATTCTTCTTCTTCTTCTTTTCATTCTTCTTCTTTTCATTCTTCTTTTCATTCTTCTCATTCTTCTTTTCATTCTTCTTCCTCTTCTTTTCATTCTTCTTTTCATTCTTCTTCTTCTTTTCATTCTTCTTCCTCTTCTTTTCATTCTTCTTTTCATTCTTCTTCTTCTTTTCATTCTTCTTCTTCTTCTTTTCATTCTTCTTTTCATTCTTCTTCTTCTTCTTTTCATTCTTCTTTTCATTCTTCTTCTTCTTTTCATTCTTCTTCTTTTCATTCTTCTTCTTCTTCTTTTCATTTTTCTTCTTTTCATTCTTCTTTTTATTCTTCTCATTCTTCTTTTCAGTCTTCTTCTCATTCTTCTTTTCATTCTTCTTCTTATTATTTTCATTCTTCTTTTCATTCTTCTTTCATTCTTCTTTTCATTCTTCTTTTCATTCTTTTTCTCATTCTTCTTTTCATTCTTTTTCTCATTCTTCTTTTCATTCTTCTTCTTCTTCTTTTCATTCTTCATCTTCTTTTCATTCTTCTTCTTCTTCTTTTCATTCTTCTTTTCATTCTTCTTCTTCTTTTCATTCTTCTTCTTTCTTTTCATTCTTCTTCTTTTCATTCTTCTTTTCATTCTTCTCATTCTTCTTTTCATTCTTCTTTTCATTCTCCTTCTCATTCTTCTTTTCATTCTTCTTCTTCTTTTCATTCTTCTTTTCATTCTTCTCATTCTTCTTTTCATTCTTCTTTTCATTCTTCTTCTCATTCTTCTTTTCATTCTTCTTCTTCTTCTTTTCATTCTTCTTCTTCTTTTCATTCTTCTTCTTCTTCTTTTCATTCTTCTTCTTTTCATTCTTCTTTTCATTCTTCTCATTCTTCTTTTCATTCTTCTTCCTCTTCTTTTCATTCTTCTTTTCATTCTTCTTCTTCTTCTTCTTCTTTTCATTCTTCTTCTTCTTCTTTTCATTCTTCTTCTTCTTTTCATTCTTCTTTTCATTCTTCTTCTTCTTTTCATTCTTCTTTTCATTCTTCTTCTTCTTCTTTTCATTCTCCTTCTTTTCATTCTCCTTCTTCTTCTTTTCATTTTTCTTCTTTTCATTCTTCTTTTCATTCTTCTTCTTCTTTTCATTCTTCTTTTCATTCTTCTTCTTCTTCTTTTTATTCTTCTTCTTTTCATTCTTCTTCTTCTTCTCATTCTTCTTTTCAGTCTTCTTCTCATTCTTCTTTTCATTCTTCTTCTTCTTATTTTCATTCTTATTTTCATTCTTTTCATTCTTCTTTTCATTCTTCTTCTCATTCTTCTTTTCATTCTTCTTCTTCTTTTCATTATTCTTCTTCTTCTTCTTTTCATTCTTCTTCTTTTTCTTTTCATTCTTCTTTTCATTCTTCTTATTTTCATTCTTCTTCTTCTTCTTTTCATTCTTCTTTTCATTCTTCTTCTTCTTCGTCGTGCCCCGTGACTGCCCAAATGAGTGAAGTGTGCGGTGATTCTAAGATCGATGGCACTCATCTGCATGTCATACTGACTGACAGTATTATTTCTCTTCCCCAGCAGACTCCAAGGGCATTTAAATTAAAGGTACAGTGTTCTGCACTAATATAAAGGCTCTCTGAAGCCTAGAAACCCTTTTAATAAGTTAAATTCGCGGCGAATAAATTTGCATCGAATCGAATTTCTCCTGCAAATTCGGCGAATCAGCCGAATCGAATTTTTGAATAATTCGCTCATCTCTAGATATAATCTAATACAAATACTGCTGACAATATAGCAACTTTTATTGTGAATATAAAACATTTGTTATTTTTTTTTTTATATATATTTACTTAAAATGTGATTGATGTAAAAAAAAAAAAAAAATAAATATATATATATATATATATAATATATATATATATATATACTTAAAATATGATTGTTGTAAAATATTGAGATAAAAGTGTATGACTTTACATTTTGGAGGAGTTATTAACCACCAAAGCATCCCACACAGTTGGCGTCCATTGTAACTGTACACATCTTCACTGGCCACCATTGTAAAGGGCACTTTATTCATTGGCCACTAATGTAAGAAGACACTTCTTCACTTACTGCAAAGTAAGAGGATTCACTGAAAATAGGAGCTGTGCCTAGACCACTGCGTAGAATTAGTAAGTAGAAGGTATAAATATGTGTGCAGTATAGGTTGATGGTCATTAATGGTAAAAGGGCCCATTATTAGGAATGCAAAGGCACTACAAAGGTTTCACTAAAGAGGAGA